AAATTTGAGCAACGTGAATGTAACAAGAGGAATTCCACAATCAACAGACGCAAAGAGAACTCGTAGCATCAATGTATTGCAAGGGATACGGCCACTAGATTTGAGTCAATCAATTGTGGATAATGAAGTAACTGGAAATCGAACAACAATTAACGGGAATGGAGGTAAAAAGCAGGATGAGGAGCGTAAATCATGGGCAGAAAAGGTGGAGGCTGAAGAGAAACTGATGGAGAAAAAGGAAGCAAGAGAAATGAGCCCTAAGTCATGGAGCAAAGTTGTTGCAAGCCCCATAACTGAAGGACTGGACTTAACACCACAAAGTCAGGATAATTCGAGTGTGAAGATAACTATGGAGGACATAAAGGAGGAGCTCGATTTCTGGAAGTCAACAGTTGTGTGTTTTGCATTGGGATCTAATCCACCACAATCAGTGATGGAAGGTTACTTCCAAAGGATATGGGGATCGCTTGGTATAGACATAATAGCACAGGTTAATAGAGGAGTGTTTATGGTGAGATTCCATAGCTTTGAAAGCAAAATCAAAGTAATTGAAGATGGAGTCCAGATGTTCGACAGAAAGCCAGTGGTGGTTAAACCTTGGAATCCAGACATAGATTTGAAAAAGGAGTCAGTGGATTTGATCCCAATGTGGATTAGATTTATTGGACTGGATATAAAGTACTGGGGACAAACAGCTCTCACAAAACTGGCTGGACTTGTAGGGAAACCATTAAAGGCAGATCGAGCTACAACACAAAAGGAGAGGCTGACATATGCCAGAGTTCTGGTTGAGGTTAAGCCTCATCATAAATATCCAAATATAATAATGTTTGAGGATGAGAAGGGCAGAATAGTGGAGCAGGAGGTTTTCTATGAACGGAAACCTACTCTATGTGGAAAGTGCAAGATCTTTGGGCATGAAATGAATGAATGTAGGAGGTTTATAAAAGAAGAGAAAGAAAAGCAAACAAACAAGCAAGAACTAAAAGAGCCAAATGCAGTACAGAAGCAGACTCAAGTGGAAAAGAAAGCTACAAATGTGCAGAACAAAGGGGAACAGGGACAAATGCAACAAGAGAGTGGGCCAATAAGCAAAGGTAATAATGGGACTGAGGTAGCACCCATTGCAAATGAAGTGGCAACCACATCCAGAAATTGGAAGAATGTAGTAAGAGGGAAAGCAGGGGAAGGAAAACAACAGGAATATATTAGAATTGGGAACTCTTTTGCAACATTAGGGGACCATCAACAGGAGAAAACAGAAGAGGAAAATGGGAAGATGGTGGAGAACAGGACAAAAAAGGGGAAAGGGAGTGAAATGGCCCTAGGAAATGGGCAGGATAGGGGCAACCCCTCATCCAATGGATAGAATAGGCTTCTGGAACATAGGGGATTGAATAGGTCACATAAACAGAATGAAATGAATCTGTTTATGAACAATCAAAAAGTTAGCATGTTTGGTCTTCTGGAAACTAAGATTAAGAGAGCTAAAGCACAACAAGCTGCTCTTAATCTATGTAGGGGGTGGTCTTTTACTACAAATTTAGTAAAACATTCGGCAGGAAGGATTTGGATTGTATGGAAACCAGGAGTATATGATGTCAATATAACAAATGTAACTGAGCAACTTATTCACTGTATGTTCAATCATAGAGGGATAGGGAACAAGTTCAATGTAACAATAGTGTATGGGTTTAACAACCAAAGTATGAGAAGGCAACTGTGGGAGGATATCAAAAGTATACACCAGCAGAACAAAGGACCTTGGGCAATAATGGGAGACTTCAACTGCATTTTGAGTACTGAAGAAAGAATGAGAAGCAGGGTTACTATAGCAGAAATCAAAGATTTTAAAAAATGCATGGAAGAATGCTCTATGCAAGATATGAGATCTTCAGGAGCCTTTTATACTTGGAGCAACAAACAGCCAGATGGAGACAGAGTAATGAGCAGAATAGACAGAGTACTCACCAATTTTGAATGGATGACAAAGCTGTCAGCATCAGAAGTCCATTACTTGCAACCAGGGCTCTTTGATCATCCCCGGGCATAATAAATTGGGAGGGAAGGGGGAAGTAGGTAAAAAGGAGTTTCAAATACTTCAATATGTGGAGCATGGCATGGGATTTTAAAGAAAGAATAAAAGAGAACTGGAAAACAGATAGAAGGGGCACACAGATGTACCAACTGGTGGGGAAACTACACAGATTCAAGGGCACTTTGAAGAAGATTAACAAGGAGAGATTCAGTAACATTGAAAAAAGAGCAGAGGAAGCACTAAATAGCCTGCAGCTATGTCAAAGTAAGGTACAGCAAGACCCCAGGAATGAAGCTTTGATCAATGAGGAAGTAAGATTAAATGAGGAATGTAGTAAGTGGGAAAAGGCAAGGAACATGTTCTTACAACAAAAGGCTAAGGCACAATGGTTCAATCAGGGTGACCAGAACACTAAATACTTTCATGGCCTACTAAAAGCTAGGAGGAATGGCAACAGAATTTTCCACATCAAGGACATGAAAGGGGATGACATTGCTGATCCAGCAAAGATTCCAGATGCATTCATAGAGTTCTACACTGAAATGCTGGGAAAGAGAATGGTGGAAACAGACCATGTAAATAGCCAGATTATAAGACAAGGACCAACAGTGCAACAGAAGCAAAGGGCTGAACTGGAAGCAGACTTCATAGACACTGAGGTGATGGAGGCTCTATGGGCAATTGATGGGGATAAAGCACCAGGTCCGGATGGATTTGGAAGCCAATTTTATAAAGACTGTTGGGATGTTGTGGGTACAGATGTAAAGAAGGGAGTACTGGAGTTCTTTAGAGAAGGCAGGATGCTCAAAATTGTCAATAACACTGTGATAACCCTTATCCCCAAGGGCTCTCATGCTGAGGCAGTAGGTGATTATAGACTATTTCCTGCTACAACACAATTTATAAAGTGATTTCGAAGATGCTCTGTAATAGGCTTAAAAAGATATTACCTGGGATAATATCTCCTAACCAAAGTGCTTTTGTGGAAGGCAGGAACATAGTGCATAATATACTGATTTGCCAAGACTTGGTGAGGTTGTACAAGAGGAAGAATACAACTAAAACTTGTCTGATCAAAGTAGACCTAAGGAAGGCATATGATACTGTGGAGTGGAGGTTTGTGGAAGAAATGTTGCATTCTCTTAACTTTCCTCAAAAATTCATAAAATGGGTGATGGCTTGCATCACATCTACCGAGTATACAATAGCAATAAATGGTGGAGTATATGGGAACATTAAGGGCAAACGAGGACTTAGGCAAGGGGACCCAATATCACCCCTACTTTTTGTCATCTGCATGGAATATCTCTCAAGAACTATGAGGATTACTGAACAAAAAGGGTTCCAATTTCATACCAAATGTAGAGGGCTTAAGTTAAACCACTTATGTTTTGCAGATGATGTGTTATTCTTTTGCAAAGGGGAATGGCAATCAGTGGAAATGATCCTAAGGGGGCTGGAAACATTCTCAAGAGCATCAAGATTACACACCAGTGCAGCTAAGTCAAACATCTACAGTGCAAACATGGAGGAACAATGTATCCAGGACATATGTGAGCTCACAGGTTACCAAAGAGGAGCTTTACCATTTAGGTACTTGGGAGTACCAATATCTGCTAGGAAGCTCTCAGCAACAGATTGTGAAATGCTAGTAGAGAAGATGGCTGCCAAAGTTCGAACTTGGAGCTCAAGGAATATTTCATATGCTGGAAGGGGGATGTTAGTGAACTCAGTATTGATGCACATACACTCATATTGGGCCTCAATCTTTATACTCCCCAAAAAGGTCTTAAAAAACATAATAGGCATTTGCAGAAGCTTCCTATGGGATGGAAAAGGAAACTCAACCAAAATGGCGCTGGTAGCATGGGACACAGTGTGCAAACCAAAACAACAAGGTGGACTGGGGATAAAGGATTGTATAGCATGGAATGAAGCAACAATGGTAAAATATGTTTGGAATATAGCAAATAAAGAGGACAACCTTTGGGTGAAATGGGTTAATCATGTATATATAAAAGATCAGGATTGGTGGCAGTATGAACCACCAATTGACAGTTGCTGGTATTGGAAGAAAATCTGTGCTTGCAGGGATAAATTTGCAGCTGGTTTTGTGAATAATGGATGGCTCAAACAGGGGGGAAAATACACTGTGAAAAGTGGATACCATTGGTATAAAGGATAAGAAGAGGAAAAACCATGGTATCGAGGGGTATGGGGGTCGGATGAATGTGCCAAAACACAGCTTTACTAGCTGGCTTGCCATGCATAGGAAGCTACTGACTAAGGATCAATTGCTAAAGTTGAAGATAAGTCAAGATAGTGAATGTATGATATGTGGAAGCCAAAGGGAAACAGTGGAGCACCTATTCTTTGAGTGCAAACTTTCAGAGGAGTGTTTAAAAAGACTGTTGATATGGATGCAGAAAGGAACAATAAAACACGACCTAAAGGGTATATGGAGAAGAATACCTCGGGGAATACAGGGGAAGAAATGCAGAGAGTTTGCTACAGCAGTGATCGCAGCTCTAATATACAAGATATGGTGGGCTAGGAATGAAGTGTTATGAAATCAATGGGTACCTGCACCAAGAAGCATATGTGCACAAATACAGCAAGAATGTAAGACTAGAATAGTACCCATGTTAAAGAAAAAAGTTGTAGAAAGGAGAGAGAATGGATAGATCAATTGTATAGGAAATGTTGAAAATACAGGGAAGGAGAGTATAGGAAGAATATAGGAAGTTAGAAAATATAGAAAGATAGAGGAGGAAACGGGAGAATGAGGGGAATATTGTAAAGATCTTTGTTTATTTGTGAATAAAATCTTTCTGTTTTACCAAAAAAAGTTTCTCTCTGGAATTGCCTCTTATCCCCTACTTCTTTATGGGAAAATTGGAAGAGTAAAAAGAAATAGTGTGAAGGAGGAAAAAAAAGGCTGGAGGCATCATTTTTCTAAGTTTGCTTAAGTTATATTTCCTAGATATATCAGTTATAAACTAGTATCAATCATATAATCAAAACTGACTACAACTATTTTTCTGTACAGTTTTTGCCTGCCAAAGAGGCTTGTGTGAGAATAACCTTCAAAAGAAAGGTAGCCAACATTGCAACAAATGTCCTCTCTGTAGAGATCATTACAAAGGTACTGACCACCTCTCTATCTCTACCCTACAAAACACATTAACGCTTTGATATTGTTTGTCAGCATCGAAATTAGTTTTGGTCATATCTTAACAGGTCTTGAATTTTTTTCATGGCTGATACCATTATGGAGGTTTGCTTTCAGCTTCCTCTTTTTCTGTGTTTGGCATCTTTTTGAGTGAAGCATATCTCACTGGAATTGAGGGAGGTTTCTGATTCTGAGATATTTATTGTGGATCGCTTATCATTGTTGAAACATGATATAACATGTATGAAAAGGGTAGGTATCATATAACTTTCTATGTAAACTGAGTCATTAACGGCTTTTACTAAATATAATAGTTAATATAAAATATAGAGTACACTGGTTTAAGATTGCATTGTGACACATGGTGTAGCTTCCGCACCAAGTTAGCCCTAAAAGTAGGGATGGTACATGGGACTTGATTAGTTCTCAGAATTTTGTATCGTAGAAAAAGGATGAAAAATCCGAAGGGTGTGATTGTCCTTTTAAATTATGTGCAAGATTTTAACATCAAATTCGCGGTTTGTGGTCTTATAAAGACAAACTTTTAACACTTCCATCCCTATCTTCATACGTGATCCTTGTAACTTCTTGGACCAACAAAAAAACTAGAGAAGTCCGGGGTTGAATTTATGACATAGCTTCTTGTTTTTTATAGGAGCCAATTTCCTCGCGTTAAAGGCAGCGACGCGAGTTTCGTTTTTCAAGCCTATTTTGTCTCCTTTTTGGTTTTGGACTTGGTTATTTTGTCTAGGTTTTTTCCTACTATAAATAGTCCTTGAACATAATTTTTATAGAACTTTTGACGATGGGAGAGCATAGAGCCGCCGTGGAGGCCGGGTTTTATCTTTTCTTCCACCAAACTTTGTAATTTTTATCTTTCTTTGTATGATTTGTTGTTTGGCTACCATGTCTATGTGGAGCTAAACTTCACGTTCTAGGGTTGTGGTTCTTTCATGACTATTGTTATTCGAATATTGATTTTGATTTCTTGATTTATCGTATTAGTTTATTTATTCAATCCTGCGCTTAATTATTTAATTGCTTGATCACCAATTGAATACTATCTACGGATCTAGAATTGAACTCGAAAGTGGGAATTCTAGATTGCATATAGGTTTGAGTAGAGCAAGTTCTTGAACCTGGGCATCGGGGAACGGATTCGGGGTTAGGATAGACATATACCTAATTGCCTTGCTTGGTTGATTTACAGGAATTATAAATGCGTTCTAGTTATTTTTAATTCCACAGACATATAGGCATTAGGTTAGCTTGAATAGGTGAGTAAGAACTCGACAGATTCTTATGAGCAATATTAACCCTGTTAACCAATAAACTAGATAAATTAGTTATTCAATTTCAATTGAAGAATACAATAGGAATGTTAGATAGCCCATAACCCTAGATCGTTTTCATCACATTGATAATATAAAAATCTGCTCTTCCTCTGTCTAAAGTTTATTACTTATTTTCTTCTTACTTTAATTACTTTAGCATTAAATACTTCTAGGCTAATCCTTATTTAGATAATTAGGAAAATCTAATTTAGTTAATAGTTAATCATAAGTCCTCGTGGGTTCGACATCCGACTTCTAGTTACTTTATTACTTGACGACCGCGTATACTTGCGTGTGCGTTTGGCCGCAACAAGTTTTTGGCGCCGTTGCCGGGGACTTAGAAATTAACTATTTTTCTAGATTAGACTTTTACTTTTATCTTTACAAGTTTTTTTTCCTTCACGTTTTGTAAATATTTTATTTTTATAACTATTTGATTTTTCTCTTAGTGTTTTTCTAGTTCTCTCAGCATGACATCTGGGGATGAAATATCCAGAGGTAAGGGTATTGATGAAGACGCTTGATTGACGGAAGACTGTTATGGTCCGTCTTTTTGGGCTTGTCATGACCTGACATCTTCGAAGTCTGAATTTGAATATGGGTGTAAGGGTTGGTATTGGGACGGATATTCTCGATTAAGCGAATATGCGAACCGACGTAGTCTTCTAACAACGTTGGTGAATGATTGGTCTAAGGAGAGAGATGATCTTGCACATAAAATTGATAATTTTGGCTTGGTTATGCATAACTTGGATGCAAATTTGAGTGCAGAGGTTGATGCGTGTAACGCCCAACAATTTAATGATGAGTTGTGTGAAGCTGAAAAAGATCTTCTAGACCAAATTGAGCAGCTAAAATGAGAATACCAAGCATTAGACCATATTCCCCTTGATTATGCCAATATTGAGAAGAGTGCTCTAGATTCATGTGAGAGAGTAGATAACATTACTTTGGGAGACTTGAGTGTGTGTATATATGGGGATGTAAATAATAGTACAATTCATGAGTTAGGGCGCAATAAACCTCATTCCAATCATTTTTCTACATTGATTTAGATAGTGAGATACTAATCAAGCCATCTGAGCCTATGGGGGAGTGAAAGAGTGAGGATGAGAGTGCCTATATTCTTGAATTTGTTGTGCCAGAAAGAAAAAATTATATTCCCCATCTAAAGGCCAAGAAGTGTAGAGTGAAAAAATTATTACTTGGCCTGGTTATCATTGTAGCCCCACCACTGGAGCATAGCCGCAGACTGGATGCCATGTTAGGGGTACAATTCATAAGTTCAAAGTGGAGGAAAAAGTGGTTCACGTCGTGCCGCGACGTTAAATTGGGCGCTTGTTGGGAGGCAACTCAGCTTTACTACTTTCTTTTTATTTTTGATTTTTTTTCTTATTGTATTATTTTTGTAGTGTTGTTTTATTTTGTAGGATGTTGAGATAGGGAGCAAAGCCACAGGAAGTATGCAAAAGTGAGTCATGTGGTTAGAACTAAGTGTGGGATGCCCGCACAAAGGACTTTACCTGGGAGAAGTCTGAGTATCCCGTGAGCTGCTAATGGAGTCCGAAACTTTTCTAATGCTTTTTTGGACAAAAAGCATGTTTCTACTACTAAAAAAAAGTTACATAACTACCTAAAACCCTGTACTTGTAGACATCGAAATTTTAAGGGATCAAGCCAAATCCTAAGTTAAAGATACTACAGGACTCTTGAAATCCTAGGAGTCTATTAGGGTTTCTTGGAAGTTACTCTACCCTAACCCTAAATCAAAGCTATAAAAAGGGTCACATATTCCCTTTGAAGAGGCATCTCAAAAATATGGAGATCATCTCAGCAATTCCATAAACTCTCGGAATATGCACAAAGAGATCAAATATGACATCTCCAAAATTCCATAAAACTCTTGGGATACTCATTAAGAGATCAAAGACATGTCAAATATGTCTTGTTCAAAGTTCTAGCAACATTCAAGATCCAAATGGAGTGATGCTACATGCTTCTTGATAATCAAGTACATCAAGGAGATGCATATTTCCCAACGTTCGAGAAATATGCCGCTAAGGCCCTCGCATTACGGATAACAATTCGGAGGAAGAATCAAGGGAACAAACAGAATTGTACCCGCATTATTTTATCGATAAAATTACGCTTCTTCATATTTATATTGTGGTTGCAATTTATTTTTGTATCACATATAATTTATTGCAAACAAATTGGCACGCCCAGTGGAACCAGTTCTGCCCTTCATCTCTTCCTCCTATAAATCAGAAACTACAAGTTTCAAAATCAACAACTGTTGGCAAAAAAACAAATCTGCTGATTGCCGTTATGCTGACCCAATCACTCGACGCATGCTCTAGGCTACTGGCTTGGATGAGTCCTCCGGGGGCAACATCTCTTGTTCTCTATGCAAGTGGTTTCTCATCCAAGCCGCAAAACTGTAAGAAAGACGCGACAAGTTCCTTGTGAAAGCCGCAAACTCAGAAAAGTGATCCTTCAACAAAGCCGCACAATGGCAAGAGAGACACATCAAGTCGCAAAGCCACATATGGAAGGAGAATATGAAGTCAATGAATGATTCCTGCTAGTGTATAGAAGTGAAAACTTGGTGTAGTAGATTTAAAGCATCGCAACATCATTGGACAAGGACGGTTAGTTTCTACTGCTCGTGTTTGGAAA